CGCGCGTCCCGTCTACTTCTTGCACTTGTTCGATCTCTGGCCACACTCTGTTCCTATGTGTCTCAAGCACGCAAGGATTCGCAGATTACCTACGTTTAGATCAAACCATTTTAGATCAAGGTTACGATCGCTAACTATTTCCGAGTAAACGTTCGTGATTGATTTATTCGTGACAGATGTAGTGCTACGTGTTTTATGTAGAATAGCAATAATTCTTAGTTAATCGTTTGCGTTCGCTAGCTGCAATATACGTATTGCGCTACGTGCTACACAAAAATATACAATATTGCTATTTTATGTTGCAATTATATATATATATATATATATATATTATGTTTGAAGTATTTTCTATTTAATCAATTGAGCCGTACCATATGTACATTGCGTTATGTATTACACACAAGAGATAGTTTACCTTTACATCCCTTTATGTCATGTCCATCTTTTCGTAATACTCACCCTCGTTACGAAGGTATAGAGTTACTTTAGTCGAATAGTGTTATCTTAGTATGAGGATAAACAGATACTCTCCCTCGCACTGGCTGCTTTATGAAATCAATCATGATTAACAGCATTCATGCAGGATTTCTACTTTGTATTCCTTCATAATTATAAAAGTTATAAGTAAAGACATTTTTTAGCATTTAGAATGTAAAATTTGAATTATTATTGACTATAACTACTTATTGATTGTTTCAGTCCGGATTTAACAAATTATATGTATTAAATTGTGATAAAATTAGATAATTATATTTTATAACAACTTGACTCGACGTATTGCAAGGAAGAAAATGATTTAAGGAAGACAAAATACGATTCACAGTAATTTCAGAATACGCTCATAGAAAAAAAAATTATAGGAAACACATTACGTAAAATTTTATAAAAATAGATCGTGTAAAGATAACATTAAATACACAGTAATTAACATTACGAAAGAACGTCTGCTCTTAAACGAAGAATTGTCACCTGAAACCGCACGATAGTATATTGTTTGCAGCAGCTCGAGGGTGAAGAGGTAGACACGAGCTGGCACCGATTCAAGGTGCACTTAGAAAATTACGAGTCCACTTTCGAGGGGAAATCTCTCCAGTCATTTAATATGATAATGGATAGTCAAAAGAATTAACGTTGTCACGACAAATTATTCTTAACCACTTATTACAGTAATAACTGAGAAAATCCTTCCTGATTTTCGCGTCCTTTCTGATAAAGTCTATCCGCGATGGAGAAGCCGAAAAACATTTTAGTGGTCTCGAAGGATCATCGATGTAATCAAACTCAGTAGACGCCACTTGCTTGCCTGGAACTCTCGATATAGACTCGATATAAACATCCATAGGATGTTTGACGAGCACGAAGGATGGACGCATTAGCCGGACGAGATGGCATCTAGTCGACGTCGAAAGTGATCAAATATAGATCTCTCTAAATGCTCCACGTCTCCTGCTGACCACCGACGATAAACATTGACGTAGGATGAGCATTTCGAGCGTGAAATAATTATGACACTGTTAGGAGAACATTGTGATTTATTTGCAAACACTTCCTGATTTAAAAAAAAAATTTATTAAAAATTTTGTTTTATTTTAAAATATACGTAAAAGCATCTTCCTTTAACACGATACTTCAATTATTAACTACCAAAAGCAAGGAATCTGTACTTTAAGGATAACACGTTTTAGAAGAGATATCGGAATTTCTTAATAATCCCATGGAAAAAACGATTTTGTTGAAATATCTAAAAATTTAGCTAGATACATATCTATGAAAATAATTTCAAAATAATTATGTAGAAATATCAAGCATGATAAGCAATAGTACAAAAAATTTTAACATTCTAGCAATCAGCTTGCGTCCTGTACATAAATATTTTGATTCCAATAAAATTATTTCCAAATTATTATTTCCAAATCCATATTTAGCTAAATTTTTAGATACTTCAGCAAACTACTTCTTAGTCTCCGTGCAGATATTTATGACATTTTTTTATATCTGTAATTGAAGTATTTTTGCAAGAAAATATGTTCAGAGACTAAAAGTTTTAGCTTTATATCGAGAGTAATTAAAAAAACATGTATAAATGTAATTTAAGATTTACTATTTTTAGTTTGAAATACGTTAGTTTTTTTGTCGATAAAAAAAATTTGCAAGTATAAAATTAAAACGCAGACTATTATTTGTTTTCAGCGATGTAATTAATTTTTATTATTCTCGTTAAAAAAGTTATTTTTTATTCATAATGGGGGATATGTATCGCAAAGTAGCGGATCAAGCTCGTTGCCAAGTAGAAGAAGCTAGTCTGATCTGCAATACGATTGTACTCTAGTGCCACTGGTTAAACTTAGAGGAGAATTACTGCGGAACAGAAGCATAAACATGTCGGAGTAGCGAGTACATGTGTTAATGTTTGTATGAGACATCAAAAGCAACGAGGTTCTCTCTCGTTCTTTCTCTCTCCGATCGTTCACCGTCTCTATAGCTGCTCGCTGATGATTACTCCGGCTTAAACGATTGCTTTACAGTATAGTTGCAGATTCTCGCGCTAATCTAAATATTTGTCCGCAAACGAATTTGTACGGCAAGCTCACGTTATTCGAAAAATGAGATTCCACCATTCATCGATACATAAAAACTTAAAAGCTTTATTCTTTTAATAAATGACGATTTATAGATATATATTAGAATGTGTTTGATAACAACCAAAATTTTATGGAAATTATGTACAATAAAAACTCTATTTTTTTAAATTCTCTATTAATTAAAATTTGTCCACATTGCAACAAATCACTATACAGGGTGATTTTAACATATTTCGTCACTCATCATGAGATAGAGTGAATCGAATTGAATCGAAAAGTCCTCTATTATTTTGCAATTTTCGCAATAGTTAACAAGATATTAATTACTAAACATTGCCAAATATTGGTCTTGAATAATTTTTTGATCAAATACTATCAACTTTATAGAAAAGCTGCAAGAGACAAAAATCATTTATTTTCTTCTCATAAAGTTCTGAGAATTTTTTCAGAATTTTTTAATATCGTATTTCCTCATGTTGATAAAAATAAGAAAATGCACTATCAAAAAGTTGATAAAAAATTCTGAAAAAATTTTTAGAGTTCTATGAGAAGAAAAAATAAATGATTTTTGTCTCTTGCCAACGAAATATGTTAAAATCATCCTGTATATAAAATAGAAGTTCGTTCATTTATCTTACAGACGAGGCGGAGGACGACGCGTACGAATCGCAAAATTCAGGTCAAAGTTTGCAGAACAGAAAAAAGCGCAGCAGGGCAGCATTCTCGCACGCGCAAGTCTATGAACTGGAAAGAAGATTTGCTGCTCAAAAATATTTGTCCGGTCCAGAAAGGGCAGATTTAGCGCGTGGCTTAAAATTAACGGAAACGCAAGTCAAGATCTGGTTTCAGAATCGACGGTGCAATTTTTTTTTATCTATGCTTACTATCTCATTACTTTTCTAGACTTAATAAGAAAATTTTGGAAAATATAACTTTCAAAAAATAAATTACATTTTGTTACAAACATTTTTTTCTTCTCAAAAAATTGAAATTTCATTAGCCCTCGTAAACTCTGGAAGCGCCAGGCGCGTGGCTGTACGCGTTCTAGTACATCCGGACGAACATTTGAGGGGATTGCCTCTTCGTGGTTCCGGACAACTTCCCGGGCAAATGTCGAGCCCACAGATTCATCCCGCGAACAAAGCGCTCAGTGGTTTCCCGTATTATTGTCTGCCATATCATCCGCTACTCTGTCCACCCCTACATGCCACTCATGTTCAGGTACAAAGCCCGATTACATCCGATTTCGATCCAAACCAAATCTCGAAAATCAAGGATGAGAAGTGAATGATAGACTACTTTCGAAGTATCAACTATTGTTCCACATCTAAACAAAGATGATGGTACTTCAGGAAACAATGTCAAAATATCATTTAGAGAATACTTTGATGATACCTTTTAAGTAGATATATTATGAGACGAATGTTGAGAAAACTCTTTTCCGGAAAATGATTTTGTCCGAGAAATAAATTGAAGGACTTGAAATGAATTGCAGGCAACAATGTGCTCAACTACATAAAAACTGTATACACACATATGAAATTTTTAGATTGTATTTATTTATTAAATAATAGCTTTTCAATCAAGAAGAAGAATCTACATTTTTTAGAATAGAAAATTAAAAATACGTTTGAAATTTGACTATACTAAATGTATTAATAATTTATAACATAATTCGTTAATAGCTCATTTGTAAAATATGCTCCTATTTAAGATATTATTTCCAAGTCTTTCAATTGCATTTTGACCTATAAGCACTTTCTGTGCATAAAAAATCCTTTCTTCAGAATTACATTAACACGTATAAATAATTGAATTTACCAATCATCTTGTAGCTGTCAACATCACACGCATAATGTATTGTAATTCAATAGCGACATAAAAACAATCGTGTAAATTAGTCTGTAAATAAATGTATAAAATACGAAATATTGAATTTCCTGTATTTTCTCTTTTGTTATCTAAAATACCAAACTTAAATTTGGAAAGAAATAAGAAAATCAAATTTCAAATCAAGTTAAAGCTCCTATTAGTTTTCTATTAATCCTCTGATGTGTTAAACTCCAAAATTTCAAATCATAAAACCAAGAAAACTAAAGATGACATTGCACAACTGTCATGTTGTGCAAAATTAATGTGCTTCTTATCTTAATTCAAAAAAATATTGTCTGACATAGAAATTACGGAGTACAATTTTTAAAGTAAAAATAAAAAATGTGTTCGAGTTACTAACAAAACATGTGCAATTAATAGCGGAACGTGTGCAATGTAAAATATAAATTAAATATTAATGCTAATTAAATTTGTTTAACATGCGCTACGCGTGTACCGTGTTCAAACTCAATTTATTGTTAAGTATAGATGCGTAATGTCTTTAAATAAAAATATGTATGTCAACCAGGATTTGTCAGGAATGCTTTTTTCCCCCTTAATTTCCCTCTCTTTCTCCTATCAATTAAATCAATTAACCAATTAAAAAAAAAAAAAAAAAAAAAATTACAAAGCTGCAGGTGGAAAATGGGTTTTCTTGGCGATATCGTAACTGACTTTCTCATAAGGGTTTTAATGACTGTGTCTGGGTGGGCCCAACAGACATCAGATATGTTTATTCAGACGTGGAGACGAGCAAGCTTAACCGACGGACGAGAAAAAATCTAGATCTGACACTCATCTGTTGTAAACAAAAGTGTTACATTGCCCTCGCCGAAACGTCTTTTACATTCCGCCCATGTAAATCCTTATGGAACGGTCTCAAGGAATCAGTAATTTTTAATTTATTTGTTTAGGCTTCTTAAGTTTAATTGTATGCATACGCACAATAGCAATGATCATAGAGTATTTATTAAACTACAATCAACTACTATCAAACATACTCTTTTTCATCAATACGTCGAATATGTGAAAAATAATGTCTCCATGATAAATATGATCAGATATGTGTAGAGATATCCAATTGAATGTTTTATAAAAATAAAATTAATTAAATAAATTAAAGAAGCAATAATTTTGCACAGACAACTACATGAATAAAAGGAATTTAAATTTTGGCAAGCAACAGAAAACTCTTTGATCATCTATCATCCATTTGCTCCGTAATTCGTATTTTTGGCGTCCCTGAGTATCAACAAACTGTAGTGGTCGGCACAATTTTCGTGACGCAAGCCACAAATTATTACGAGTTTTGCGTGGCACTAATAGCGACCGTGCATCGACACAAGGCCTCGTTTAGCGCAAGAGCATTATGGCTTTACAATGTTTAGAACTGTTCTAAACGAAGCAATAATGGACTGCAGAAGCAACTATAAAATCTATACAGCCTAACCGATTTTCCGTTGCGTATGTTTAAATCACGAGTACAGATTACAGGATAGAAATCATTGCGTTAATTATTACAATTAGCATTACTCCAACCTTTTGATATAAATAAATAAAAGCTGTTTCAATAATGTTACAAACTGCTTAGCTTGTGATAAAACAAGCTATACAAATAAAAATAACTAAATACAATAATAAATACATAAATTAAATACAAAGCCCATCCAATAAAATAGATTTGTCAATAAAACAGATTTAATATAAACAATTATATTCTCAAATCTACTCTCTATTTTGCACTCAGAAAATTAAAATCATATTTCAATGAAAATAATATCATTATGGATTCAAAATGTTTCTCAGTATTGGCATTTATCGAATATTTAACTATAACGAAATTTACGTTGAAACTTAAAGAATATTAGTTCAGAAAGCAACAAACCATTTTCAATTCTTGAGTTAGAAATTTGCTATCGACGCGACGGTAACAAGCTCACAATTTGAAGCAGAAGTACGTTCGTTTGAGTGCATCACTGATGGGCTTGTCTCGTAAAACGAGAAAGGAACGATTTAACGCTCAATCAACCGACGAAAGCTAATTTTCATTAGCTGTTAATAGCGCAAGACCACCCTCTCCCTTGATCACCCTCTATGATTCTACGCCTTAACCCCTCGCTACACTGTTCTCCAAGCGCTCGACTTTCGTTTGTTACGAGAAAGCTTTGCGCGTTAAATGAGTGATACGGAAGAAACTTGCAAAATTAACGTAAAATCTCCGTTGAGTAATAAAGTACTGTAATTCAGTAATATATAATAGGTATATATAATATATTTGAGAAAACAATTATTTTAATATAAAAAAATATCCTTTTTTATGAACTTTTCATTTGCTGTCATAGAAAAAAAATGCTATAATAAAATATTTCAATTTTTTAAATGTTTTAAAATTTAATTTAATTTTAGAGGCACTTGCAAAATTCTCCCACTTCTTGTATAATAAAAATTTTTTCAGATTTTTATATCTTGTAGTATACTGTTTGCTATAAAAAAAAACTGATTTTGCTAAAGTAACTGAAGATTTAACTAAGTATATAAATGAAAATTTTATTGGATCATTAAAATAATTAGATAGAGAGGAATTTCAAGCATAAGAAGCAATGCTGCAAATAGTTTTGACATTCTAGCAACTAGTTTGAGCGTCCTATATAATTATTTTGATGGTACAACAAAATTATTTTCAAATCTATATCATAGCTAAATTTTTTAATACTACAATAAAACTGTAAAATCGTTTCTGTATGCTGTTGGGTATATCATGTTCATGATTATATTATCGATTTTATAGTTCTGAAAATCCCAACATTTCATTTTTGTTAAGAGTTTGCAAAAATTAATTTTTTATTTCTTTTAAAGAACTCGTTTCAATATTCAAAAGATAAGTCAGATTTGGAACAAAAACAGACAGACTTATAGAGACAGTTTTTCAATATTTCTGACTAAATATTCTCTACATTTCAATGAATTCGTAGGTAAGTATATATCGAGAGTCAGATTTACTGCAAAAAGATTACCAAAGGGATCAATTTGAATCTCATTTTAAAAAATCGTACAAAGAGGACAATTTAACCGCTCGAAGCAACATAGCAGCTATTATCAATTTTTCACGAACCATTTGCGTGCATAGTAAAAAATTCTGACTTTTTCAAGCGCCTGCGGTATCCCTTACAATGGACGTAAAACGAATAATCAAATTTAAAAGTATAATTCAGACCTTTTTCTACATAAAGCTGATTTAATATTTATTTCGCGGATTTAATTACATATTTTTTAACATGGATTATTAAAAGACATATCGAAAATGATAAACCCACAATCGTTGAAACGAAAAAGCCATAGAGATACAGATTCTTTTTATTTTTGTAAGTAAAACAAGTGTAAGATGCAAATCTGGTTTTGCCATCCCCTCAAAGTAACATAAACGGAATTGCCGGTTCCAAGTTTGAGATTTCAGTCGTTACTTTCGTCTCTATCGTTACTTTTTCCTACCTCTCTTATATACCATTCTTCCGACTTCTGACACGCGTTTCAATTGGGATGGTTGCCAAGGAAACCTAGGAGCCAGAGTGTCACATGGACTATTGAAGACGTTAAAGGGGACACCTCTCCATTTCGTCGAAAACATTCTAAACATGATGTCAGAAATCAATATGATTTATAAATCATGACAAGTTAAACGTGAATTTCAAATTTTATGAATTTAAATTCCTCATATTACTTTACATTTTTAGATAAATTATATATTTTTGTTTGTGCCAAGTGATCATCTAATATCAATCAATAAACGAAACAACTTAATAATTTTCTGTTATTAAAAAACTAAAACGCTTATAATTATAAAATTATTTAAAGATTCATGTGTTATATATAGTTTCAAAAAGGATTTTTTAAACTTCATATTTTTTCGATTCCTGCAATTTTGACAATAACATTTTTTTAAACCGTGAAAACGCTTTTAAAAAAAAATAATAAAAAATATAATGGACCGAAATCCTTCCTTCTTATTAAATCAGAAAAACAGGATAAAATGATTTTAATTATATTAATTGCCTTACAATATATAACAATATAATTAATAAATTAAGTATTATAGCTCGGTTGAGATAAATTCATACAATCAATTAATGCCTATTCGAGCAAATACTGGGTGACAATGTAAAAATAATTTATTCAAATAAACATATCAAATACGGAAACGTTTCGATCCTGATTTGGATCCTTATCAATGCTCCAAAATTATTAATAATATGCAGTCGTCCAAGGATAGTAATGTAACAAGATGTCATCATACTTCCTGGTATAATGATCATCGCAACGTTATCATTATACCAGAAATATGATGACATCTTGTTACATTACTATCCTTAGACAACTATATATTATTAATAATTTTGGAGCATTGATAAGGATCCAAATCAGGATCGAAACATTTGCGTATTTGATATATTTATTTGAATAAATTATTTTCACATTGTCACCCAGTGTTTACTCAAATAGACATTAATTGATTATATATTTACCTTATAATAAATATATTTATATTAATTATTTAAATTGTGGATAAAATTATTTTATTAACTTTTTTACTTAGCATGCATTCGTATTTAGTCTCGCATGTGCAAAAATTTTTTTTCTTCGATCACCGATACCTGCTCT